CCTAGGAACCTGGGATCAAGGCCAATGAAATGTTTTATTAAACAGACCAGAACTATAATTAACCTATAAATTATAGTTCAGGAAGTCATAAGAGATTTTAAAATAATAGAGATGAAGAAAAAAAAAAAAACAGCATCTCCCTCTAAGAATAAGTCTTTAAAAGTTTGCTGGGCTGATACCACCACATTTCCAATCCATACAATTATGGGCAATTCTTAGAGTACATAACAGCCTGCTAGACATACAAATGATTCTTAGACAACTTTTGGGTCATTTCATTGTTCTAACCTACTTTACTCTTTTCAACATTTCCCCAATAAAAAAATCTTCATTGCTATTCATCTTTTGACATAATTATACAGAACAATATGAATAATTTATACTTAGAAATATGAAAATACAAATAGCAATGAGGGCATCTTGGAAATGCTTTCAATTTAACATAAAAAACATGCAAGACAGAATTTTACATGATAACTTTTCAAAAGCATGAAGAACTGACAACAAAATTTCCAAAAAAGGAGTAACAAACAACGTAATAGCCAGAAACAAATGAAATTAAGATGATAGGAGTACTCTGGATTACTAAGAGGCTTTAGTTTTGTTTTTGTTTTCAGAATTAGAACTCTTGAGTCTGTGCTCCTTGGTTAGAAGTTTGGCCCTCAGACAAAGACATACAAAGAACAACATAACCAGAGGGGCTGGCCAAATAACTCAGCGGATTGAAGTGCCTACTTAGGCAAATGCAGGGGCCAGGAGTTTGATACCCAGGCCTGCCCTGCTGGCCCTGCCCCTGAGACAGCAATTAAGACTGGGCATGGTGGAGTGCACCTGTAATCCTAGCACTTGGGAGGCTGTGAACAGGAGGATCACTACGAGTCCAATCTATGCAGTGAGACTCAGTACACCCTGTCCTAGAAAAAAAAAAAAAAAGTGTAACCAGAGGGCCAGCCAGATAGCTCAGTAGATTAAAGTAGGCACACACGGGTACGGAGTTCAATCCCCAGCATGCCATGCCGGCCCCACCTCTGGGGTGCACTGAGACTACCACTGAGACTGGGTGTGTTGGTACATGCCTAGTCCTACCACTTGGGAGGCTGAAAACAGGAGGATCACTGCGAGTCCAATCTCTGTAGTGAAACTCTGCAGACCCTGTACCAAATACATAAAATAACAACAATAATAATAATAAAGTATAACCAGGAAAAACAACCAAATGCAAAGGAATACAGCAAACAGGATGGTCACTAGAGCCGCAGGAGCAATCACTTTTGAGAAGTCATGACAATCTGCTTAGCCTCTGGCAGACCTACAACTTGACTTAACACTACCATGGGATCTACAAAGCCTCAGACCAACATTAATGTAAGGTTTCTCTAAGTTGGCAAAGTGCTTGGAATCGCAGGCAGAAGGAACACAAATTCATGCTTCAGCCTTACTTTCATCCTCTGCGCAAAGGATTCTTCCTGATAAAGTGCTGCCAAATATGAGCTGAAAATTCAAATTATAGAGCAACGGAGGAAACAAATCCTGATCAGATGTGGAAAGAAATAAAAGTTTGGAGAACTACCAAGAAGTATAATTAGCTACAATATATAATTTAACTATTAAAAGACAAAAATGGAAAATCAAAAACAGAAGAAAGGCTAATCACATTTGGAAAGAAAATAAAAATCGAAAGAGCTCCAAAGAATTGAAAAATATTTAAAAAGTTAAACATCCTTAAGCAGAACATTAGAAGACACAGTTACAAAGTGAACAAACCAGAGAACAGGCTAGCCAGGATGCAGCATACAAACACAGGGTGCTGCAGAAGAACTTGAGAGACGTAAAGAGAGGATAAGAAGGTCTCACATACATATAATAACCCCCATGGAGAGGGCAAAACAATTGCTAAGATAAGAAATGGTGCAAACATGATGGGGAGATAGCTCAGCAGTTGAAGCGCCTGACTGGCAAGTGCAAGGACCCAGGTTCAATCCCAGGACCACATGCCGTGTTGGTGCTGTGCCAGCCATGGAAACCAGCTGTGGTGGAGCACACCTGTAATCCCAGCACTGGGGAGGCTGAAAACAGGAGGATCACTATGAGTTCAAGCTACACAGCAAGGGCCAGCCAAATAGCTCAGTGGATTAAAGCGCCTGCAAGCAGGGTCAGGGGCCAGGGGTTCAATCCCCAGGCATGCTGTGCCAGCCCCGCCCCTGGGGCACACTGAGATGGCAATTGAGACTGGGCGTGATGGCACGCACTGTAATCCCAGCTCTTGGGAGGCTGTAAACAGGCGGACCACTATGAGAATGACCTAATAGTAAGACCCTGGACACCCTGTAGACCCTTCCCCCCCAAAAAAAATACAAGAACAAACAAACAAGATACACAGGGAGACCATGTAATAAGTACATAAATAAATGAATAAATAAATAGGGAAAATATGGTGCAAAGAATCAAAATTTAATCCTACAGTAGTTCAAAATTTTCTAGAATAAAAGGATACAATTCAAAGTTCTTGAAAGACAATAAACCCAAAGAAGAAAAACATAAATCCATATCTATAAGACACCAACAACTATAAGAAAGAAAATGTAACCATTAAAATAGAAAAATATTACTTTCAAAAGAATGCAGTTTATAAATTAGATGGCTTTTCAAAAGCAGCATAAAAGCCAGGAAATGGTGACGTAATCTATTTCCAAAGCAATGAGAGAAAAAAAACTGCAGATTTTGTACCTCAACTCTCATCAACAGAAAGGGAGACATATTCCTGCAAGAATTCAGCCACTGGCCCTACAGAGCAGCAAGTCTCTAGGACACCAAAAGAAAAACGGGGTCCTGCCTAGTTCAACACAGAGACACTTCTGAGCTTCTGTGTGCTGACAGCTCAATGCCACTCTTACATTGAGCCTCCTGATGTAATACATCTCTACCTACCCATTTCTTTAAAACTCAAAAACAGAATCTAAGTTAAAAATATCAGAGTTATCGTCTTCATACCTAACCACCCTACCGCTCCCCTAGTCAGTGGAACTTAATGAAGCAAGTGTCTTAGTGGGACCTTTGGGTAGAACTGGAAAATTGGGAACAAGTAAGAGCACAAACAAGCAAGCTGGAGCAAGAATAAGAATCAATTACAGAGTCTGCAATATTACATAAGAGAACAATGGGAAGAGGAAAGGAAGCCATGGGAGACAGTCTGCGGGGCTCTCAGGAGCACATGACTCACATGGCGCTTCCAGGGTTTCTGTTGACAAGTTGAAAAGACGCCAATACTCCCCATCAATTTAAGAAGTTCAGCTACCAGCATAAGCCTCAATTGCATTTATGTTTTCATGATTACAAGTCAGAACAGCATTGGAGTTGGCAGGAAGTCGGAGTTGGATTTAAGTGAGGAAAGGGGAACACTACCCCAAATATTGTAAGGAAATTCAGAACAAACAAAAGAGTTTACTGAATGGCTCCACTAGAAAAATATATTGCTCAGGGTAGATGCTTCCAGATTAGCTGGAGATAGATAGACCCTGGGCTTTTTTACAAGCAGAAGGCTAATAAGAAATGCAAAATAATTCTTCTTACCTATAACTATGCTAATAAATTCTCTCCTGGAGTTCGACTGACTCCTCCACAGAAATCCTAGTTTTGCCTGTTTTCCATCCATGTCAGCCTTCCTCTTTATTATATAGAATTTGTATTTATCTGGATTCAATTTTGAACCAGTCGTAACATCTGTCTGGTCTCCTCATTAATGAATTAAGGGAAATGCTTAATAAAGAAATACATGTATTTATATGAGACTCATGATTTTACTCATTTTTGAAAATTATCCTTTAACATCAAAGTGAAGCCTTAAAACAGACCATATTTCTGAAGTTGTCTTCAAAATCAAGAGTTTATAAAGTTGCAGCTCTGAACAAATTTCTTAAGTATAACCAAAAAGTTTGATTTCTTTAAAACACAATCTGTTGGTTTTAAGATGAATAATGTGATTTAATCTTAAATTTGTTAATCAGAACATAATTTAAGAAAATTACACTCTACTAGCAATGATCACAAATGTTCAATAAAAGAAGTAACTGTTACACATTTTAATGTGCTTTATTAATCATACATAAAACAATAATATCCTTAGCAAATTAATTGGGGCAAGACAAAAGGCTTCTTGTACCTGTTATGAGATTACTAAATGAATTTCCAACCCAAAAATAACTTTACAATATTATTTGTACCTTTACAGGTAGAAAGAGGTGAAGAGAAATGAAGACAGTATGCCATTAGTAATTAGAAAACCTGGAGATTCGGGGGTGGGTCTGTCCAAATACACAGTCTAGTACTAGTATATATTATACCAATTCTGTGCAATAATTTTTTTCACTACGTCTCTAATTCAGATTACAAATTTACAATTACCACAGCTGGTAATAGAAAGAAAAGAATAAACGTACTCCAGTGATTATAGTAGGTGATTCTGTGATGCCCGTATTCATTTTGATGAGACAGAAAGGGAAACAATCTTGTCATCTCAGGATGATTTACTTCAAACAGTGCAAGACTCTTGTTTGGTGATTTCTACTAGAAGATAAATCACTTCCAAAAATTAAAGCACAAAACTGAGTTCAATTGGCTTTTCATTGTTGTTAATTATGTGTATCCTGCACTTTTGAAAGATTTCATCAGCATTTTTAATATAACTGCTTATTGAATTTCATTCTTATTTTATCCCACTTGAATTTATACTCTGACATCCTTAGTGCATTCTTCTTCAAATCTCTCATATTACCTCATGATAAAGCAATTCCAGAACGGTCTCACAATCTACAGTACCGTAAAACTCCTAAAACACATTACCACAATGTCTCCGGATCATCGCGCTCACTTTAAATAATGATACTTGATGTTACAGTAACGATACTGAATAATGATATTTAAATGCCTTCCTATCAGAATTCCACAAAGCAGACTACCCAGTGTTTGTCCCTTCTCTCATTCTCAAGAGTAAAAATGCTTACCCCATGTTCCTTAGCAGCTTCAACCACTCTGAGAAGATCATCTTCTTCAAAAAATGGTCTAACAGCATCATGGATAATAACAACTTCGGGCCTGGAGAGTCTGGAGCCAGGCTGGTCTCCAGCCAAGGCTTTCAGGCCATTGTAAATCGACCTGTGGCGAGTCACTCCGGCTTCAACCAGGGAGATGCCTTTATGCTGATACTTCTGAATGATACTTTCCATTACTTCTGTGTTCTCTGCAGTTACTGCCACGACGATGTCCTTTATCCAACATACTCTGGAACGAAAGTACATATACCTTTCATATGCACAAATCCTTAGACAGCCCCAAAGCTAACAACACACTAGAGTACTAATATATGTCATGGTATTCACATAGAGAAATTAAAAACTGAAAACTAATAACTAAAGAAGTTCTGTGAATTTTTATTAGGCCCAGTAAAGAGGTAGATGGGGAAAAGAAACAAGACACTAGAGATAGAGATAATGTTTCCCATCGCATGTAGTACATTACACATCGGTATATAAAGAACACAATACATCGCTTATCAGCTACATGAGGATTGTTTTTACTCAAATTTGAACAACCAGTGTATCAGTAAAATGAGAGAATAAAAAAATGGAATATGCTTTTGTTTTTTTCCTAATACTTTTTCCCCTCAATGACATCAAAGTATTCTTTAATTCTAAGAGTCAGCTGCGGGGCTGGGGAGATAGCTCAGGAGAATAATCGCTTGCCTGGCAAGTGCAAGGGCCTGAGTTCAATTCCCGGTTCTGCCAAAAAAAAAAAAAAAAAAGAGCCAGCTGTTTTTTCAAGAGGTCCAGTAGGTTGGCAACCAGCCATTCAAATACCAAAGCTGCATAAATCATCTCAACACAAACCTTGTCTACACAAAGATTAAATATGTAGTTTAGTGGGGATACCATAGTAATCAGTTATGTGTAAGTCAGTAGAACTAAAGGAAATGTTCTTTGAATCATGAACTAGAAAGCCCTATTTTTCTGCCATAAACATTTTGTTCAAGAAAGACCTGCTGACCTACTGCACTGCAGATAGTCCAACTCAGCGAGCTGCTGCTAAACTGAACAAGCAAGTGGCACTCAAGGTTCAGTACTCCACAGCCAAGCGCTCCACATAAGACAGCTGCCTCTGACCGCTCACATCAACTCTAAGTGAATGTCTCCTAAAACATGTCACAGGATTTTTAGCATGGGACCCTGGATGTGCATGCTAGACCAGCGAAGTCTTGAAAATACATCAACTACCACCACATAATGTAAAACAACTGCCACCAATAATTCGGATCTTAGTATGCCCAAGCTTTTTTCATAGTTTATCTCATGCAGTCTTCACAGTAACACTTCCGTATTGTCTCGCAGTATGAGAAAAAAGTCAGAAAGAATATACAAATACATTAAAGATCTCTATATTATCATTTTATTCCAAAAAGGACTTGAAATAGAAATAAATGCCATCTTTCATTAAGACAACAAAACAGTCTATTTCTGTAGTCTGCTGGACAGCACTTCCTGAGCGCAAAGCTGATCCGTTTTTCCATTGTCTTGCACCTAACTCTTAGTAAGTGCTCACTAAAGAAGGAATAAATGACCTGGAGCAGTGTAACCTCTGAGCAAGCACCACAGACTCGATGATGATGAAAACAAAATGTGTTCCTTACTACTCTCACAAAATAAAACAAAACAAAAGGACAAGATCTACAGGGCCTACAGGGTCTCACTACATGGATCGGACTCGTAGTGATTCTCCTGTTTTCAGCCTCCTAAGTGCTGGGATTACAGGCATGTGCCACCATGCCCAGTCTCAATCACCATCTGAGTGTAACCCAGGGGCGAGGCCGGCAGGGCACACCAAGGATTGAGCCCAGGTCCTGTACTCCGCCTATGTAGACACTTTAGTCTGGTGAGCTATCTGGCCGGCCCTCCAGCCCTTTTTATTTTATCTTTTAATTTGGCGACAGGGTCTTACTAGGTCAGTAAGTTGTCCAGGCTGTACTCAAACTCATCTTCCTGCCTCAGCGTCACTGAGTGCTGGGATTACAGACACGCATCAGCATGCCCAGAAGCAGTGCAGTTGTTTTTGACTGTCACTGTTTGTAGATGTTGGATTGTACCGCTGTCTAGGTCCTCACGTTCTTGGAGACCCAGGATTACTTGTATAATTGATCTGACATCGGTAGATAATTTTAGTCACAAATAAAAACAATGAAATGTCACAGAAGGCCAAAGAACTGCGTATACTTTTTTGGTAGTTATGCCTGCAAATTTAACAATGCTAGAGCATACTTCCAAGGTAAAGTTTCTGCTGATCATCAAGCCCTTCGTGAGTGACAAATAACTGGTCTGCAGTCCCTGTCCACAGGAGGGCCCTCTGGTTCTGGCCTCACTGTCACAGCAGCGACCGGTCATTCTTCCTCAACTGCATCTCTCCCATAATTCAACGCATCAGCCTCTTTGCGGGCCCTTCAGCGTGTCCCAATCCTTTCTTGCCAAATTCCTGCTAGCTCTGGAGCAAGGCCGCGGGAGGCCTGGCCTGGGCCTACTTCTACACATGACCTGGTCTTTTCAGGGCTCCTCTTCCTCCCACGCTGCAAGCCCAGCTGCTCCCTGGGGGAGAGAATCGCATTCTCCTACAGAAAGGGGGCCCTGGGCTGCTTTTCTTTCATCTCTCTCTACTGAATCCCACCCACTCCTGCTTGAGTTCCACTGGCTCTGTAGCTCACAGCTAAAACAGAGCCCCCTGGTGGAAGCCCTCTGTTACTGCCGCTCTGCTTCCTGAAGATTCCCCTCCAGGGAATTAGTAAACCGCACAGTGCCCTGCGTAGCCCTTATCATTTTCTCTGCCTCTCTAGGCTGCCAACCCATAGAAACCAAAGGTACACCTCAGAACTTGGCCTGGATGTGACTTCCAGAAACACTAACAGTAGAAACAACAGCAAGGAAATACGGGACTTAAGCTAGCTGCACGGACTCCACAGAGCACTTTGCGAGCAGTGTCTCGCTTCGCACCCCTGGTAGCTCTGTGAGATAAATCAGCATTATGCGTGCATTGATGAGAACACAGGGGCAGTGGCCGACCCGGGCTCACACAGCTAGAACATGCAGGGCCCTCTTGTAACCTCAATGTGACGTTAGAGCTCACATTAGTGTGCAAGTACACTAACAGTGTCACAGAATAAGAAGACCACTGACATTGGGAAAAGAAAACACCATTCCCAAGGCCGGCCAAATAGCTCAGTGGATTAAAGCGCCTACAAGCAGGCACAGGGGTGAGGGTTCAATCCCCGGGCCTGCCGTGCCGGCCCCGCCCCTGGGGTACGCTGAGACAGAGATTGAGACTGGGCGTGGTGGCACACACCTTTAATCCCAGCTCTTGGGAGGCTGTAAACAGGCAGATCATTACGAGTCCAATCTACGCAGTGAGACCCTGAACACCCTGTACACCCTTCCCTGAAATACAGAAAAATAAAAAGGAAAGAAAATGTCATTCCAAATTACTTTGTCTCCAGCACTTCATTTATGTTTTGAGGGCTGAATTATACAGCATTGCTGCTTTTAGAATGAACTACTCAAAATTCTTATAATTTCTAATAACTCCAGCAAACATAGGCATTCCTTCACCCATGTACTCCCTGGCTCCTTCAGCAATCGCCAAGCTTCTAGCAATTGCCTAGTACTACGCCAGATGCTAGTCATGTGGCAATAAACAAAAACTGACAGATTCCTCACATCAAAGACTGCATGTCAATAAGGAGCTGCTAAATAAATGAATACAGAGATTTCTGGAAAATTAGATATGCCACCACTTTTATATGTATAAGAAGTCATTAAAAACAATCTACCTATATCAATTATTTACCACCACTTTTATATGTGTAAGAAGTCATTAAAAATAATCTAACTATGTCAATTATTTAACGAGACATGACGCTCTAACACAGTAGTTATAACACATGTGCAAACCAACCAATGGCAAGATTTGTCCATAAGGCAATGGATTAATTTTCCCCCTAAGCATTTGTTACTTTCCACCACAAAAAATAGTCCATAGTCCACCACAATAATCAGTTAAAAGCAACTTTTAGAGATCATCTTGCTATTTCCAATGAAAAGAAATCAACTGAATTAATTATTAAAACATGCAAGAGGAAGAAAAAGAAAAGGCTCTCATATGACAAAGCAAATGACACATCAAATGTCTTCAACTCCCCGGTTCATTTGCTGCCGATCTCGCCAGAATGCCTTATCACAGCTAGGAAGCAACAGTCTATTCCAAACAGGAAACAGTCATAGTAGATGTAAACACAAATACCTATGGGCTTAGACTGTTTCAACTGTATGCAACTCTCAATATAAAATAATGATTTGAACCAGTGTTCCACCTCTGTAAATTGCAGGATCCATTAGATTATCTAGACATCAACTCAGAAGTTAAAACCAACATTGTTGGGTAAATGAAAGAAATGAGAGGAGGGAAATTAAAATGCACGGCACATGAGCACAGAACAGGAGAAAGGGCCAAAATACCTATGGCTTAGATACTCGAGAGATAACAGGCTTATGCTACTCTGCTCAGCAACCCAGGATCCTCCCAGCGCTCACAAGCCTTTATAAGCACTGCTTGTATTTCAAAGGATTTATCCACATTCTTTTCTAGTTATAGAATTAAATTTTAATACTATAAAAAGCTTTTAATAATGTAAAATCATGGGACTGAGAAAGGCCTAAGTACCTCACACAGCGCCTACTGCACAAATATTTGCTGAATAAAGACATCTTCTCTACCTCTCAGCTGAAGGCAAGTCCACACCAAAGCCCCAGCAACGTGATCCTACCACGTTCTCTTCATTATTTCCTTCCTAGCACATTCCATAAGCAAATAAAAACTGAGCCCTGAGCTTATAACACCTACAGACATTTTGAGGAAGAAATGTAATATCTCAGAAGTGATTTTTCTCCTGAAATAATATTACATATAAGGAAATCCTGTTCAAACAGTTTAATAAGATCAGCGGAAAACATTTTTTAAATTTTTTTTTTTTTTTTTTTAAAAAAAGCATGGGAATACAAAGCCCTATTAACACCTCTCCAGCACTGTCATCCAGGCTGCAGAAACTTGGCCTCCAACAGAAAGCTGCAGCAGTTCCATCGTGACAGCCTTCATGGAAACTTGGCTGCTCAACTGCACTGCGGTCACTTCTGTGGATTTCCACGCTTCCACACCCACCCTACCTTTTCAGCAGCCAGCTATTGAACTGGTGTGATGGGCTGGTCCC